TGTCGTGTTTGCAAATACACACATAACCTGTTTTACAAATTCCGCGTTTTGTAAGTGCTGAAATTGATACTATGTTTATTTTTTCATTCTGCCTATTGTTTATATTGGTTCCATTAGTTTCAAAAACTCAAAATGACAAATATTTAAGATTATTAGTGATTTATAATAACAAGCCTTTTAGAAACCGGGTTTAAGTATCAATAATATTTTAATATCGAATATACGTAAGTGTATCCAGTCTGTATGTCTGTCTGTTACCGCTTGACGCTTTAACCGTCGAACCAATACAGATGAAATTTGGTATAGAGTATAGTTTGAATCCCGGGAAAGGACATAGGGTGGTCTTTATCCCAAAAATTATCAAGTTCTAACTCAACAACCCCAATGAAATTGATAATAGAGACTCGTGTATCAGAATATTTGTGTATTACTTTTATGTTCTGTTTGAACAAAGTTTTTATTGTAATAGTAAAATTTATATAGTATTTTTATAGACAATTTAGGTAATAAAAAACCAAAGCACCTACAGTGTTACTTACAAATAATGTTGTACAAAACAATACGGCATTGGTTATTGCTTAAAATCGCATGGGAAATGCTGCAACCGGCATCCGCACCTTAACGAGTTCCACTATCTTGGATCAGATCAAATAGGTACCTGGTCTACGTGTTGATTACTGCGGGCGGAAGGCAAAATATTTCTTAGCTATCTAGTCGAGTGTGCACTAATAGTATGTTTTTAAAGAAGCTCAGTTTGGGAAATCGAGGAAAAATTACTGTAATCACTTTGAATTTGTCAGTTCGTTTCGATTTTTTTTGCAAATTTCAGTAAAATTATGTTTTCACTAACAATAAAATTATAGCGATTGGACTGTGAAAAACTTTAAACACGGGTTAAAGACCCGAAGAAGGCGCCAAAACACAGGCCAAAGGATCGATCTATTTTGGCAGGACGTGTGGATTGCTTTGCACCATATTATAGCGGCGAGAATTGTCATTTTTCTTCCCCCATTCGGCAATTATTTTTATTGTTTTTCGTTACAAACAGTTTTATAGTTTAAATCTAAGAAAATTTTACTAGTTAAATATTCACGCGGTCCAGGCAAAAGACGGGACTCGAACCGAAAGTAATTGGGCAGTGCATCCGCCCGAATAGCGAAGGGTGCGGTTTCGAGTCCCGTCTGCTGCCTGGTCCGCGTGGAATTTTCTCTAGTAAATTTTTGTTTCCATTTAAACGCACATAGTTTGTGATCTGGATTGAGACATATAATATTTTTAATCCCAGAAAAATATCAAGTTCCTGAGGGTTTTCAAAAATTTCAAGTTAACGCGGACGAAGTCGCAGGTGGGCGCTAGTACTATAATAAAGTTTTATAATTATTGGAAATTTAATGACTCAAAGTAATTTCGTTAACCCTATTTTCCGTAGAGGCAGAATCATCTCATTTTACAAGTATATTGCCCAAGTAATGTCCATCTGAAAAGACGCAAAGAACGCACGAGTGAAAACTCTGCGGGCGAGCGCTCGTCCGTCGCGTGCGCACTTTCCATCTCGCGGGCTTTTCGCCGTTTTTTCAGTCGGTCCAACAACGCACGCCGCGCCGGCCACAGACTATGAATACGCTCAGAGACAATAAAGTATTTTTTAAATGATCATGTGCATTTTGCTTCTATATGTTAATGTTCAAGAAAAATATAGGTATATAAATAATTAAAAATCTATTTTCTTCAGGGCCTCGCTTAGGCATTAGACGTGACTAAAACCCGCACCTTTTGCTGTCTTGTTCGGGAAAATGCTCTCTCAATTAAGCTACTTAATAATTATGTTTTTATTTTTCTACAAATTATTACAGTTCTGAACTCTTTAAAAATTAATCAATACTTACCTTTCAAATCAGTGTGGGGCGTAAAAGCTAAGGAACAGGTACGTTTATAATATCAGAGACGACCTCTGGTGGTTGATTATAATATATTTCCAGTTAGTACTTATACACCTTGATAATCTCTCATCTGCGTGCATCGTCTGTGTACGGATTTAAAAACGTGCGTCCGATATATTGCGTTCAGCTTTACACGGTACTTTGCAAGGTTTTTTGTCATCAAATAAAGGCCATTTGAATCTGCAGCAGTTTTGTATAAGAGCTATTTTTGTAATAATAAGTTGTCAAAAAGCAATGGACACGCGTATGCTATTTATCCACAGTTAGCTAGTGAATGTGGTGATCATTACTGATTAATCATATAGCTACGTGCAACCGAGATGTTTATGCATGGACAGAAAGGAAATTCCTCCACTTTTCTTGTTTACAAGTGGATAATAGAAAAATTAACACAGAATTTTAATAAAAAATGTGTACTGGATTTGTTTAGACATCAATTTCAGTTCAAATATTGTCTACAGTAATGTACCTAAGTATGCATATTGTATTGGGTAACTGTCTAATTAGAAACCATCACTTTTATTTTTCTATTTTAAACTTAATTGATGTTTGAAAATTTCATTGTGTATTGAAAATTTAGACGAAAAAGCCTAATACTTGGTACTATTATCATTTATTGTTTGACGACAGTTTTATGTAAGGGAGATTACGATCGATGTAGATTACGAAACCTTTTAAGAATAGTACTTGGCATCTGTTTGTGTGCTTGACTATATCCGTTATTCGTATTAATGTATTCAAACAATTGTGAGTGTTCCGGAATTTATATGTTGTTATGTGAACTTGAGGAATTCATTGAAGTTACAATATCTACGTGTTTATGCAAGAACTATTAAACTTTAATGCAAATTTTTACGTAAACATAGACATCATCTTAGCGTGAAAGCAATATTATCAATAATTTCCGTACTACTAACTTTTTTTTATCTCAAACTTATTAAAACTTGCGTCATTAAGAAGTTAGGTATCATATTTAAATAATCGTTACGATTTCAAGAATCATGACTTTCACACTTCGTTATGGTAGGTAAAAAGTAAAGTTTCAAATATAGTAGTTGCATCTGATGTAACTCGTCGACTTGCATCAGCAACGACTTACAAATAAAGGACATCGATAAAATGGGCCCCAGCATGCCCAAAAGAATGTCCTTCACTATTATTTTTTTAACTTATTAGCAATTAGTCATACGGACAATCTGTTTAAAAAACTAAAAAATAAAAGTTCTGTTACTAGATACTACAGTCTGTTCATCCTAACTTGTCCTATTTGGTAAACAATCTTGGCACTCCTTTTTGTTGAAAATACAGCATTAAAAATCAACTGATAGCTGGATTCAATAGGTTTCAGTCTATAATAACGATTTATTTTAATAGTTTATTGTCTTCGTTATTATTTTATTTTTAAATGGGTGATTTTGTAAAAAAGTTGTGGCAATATTGTTTACCTTAATAAATGCAACATAGGCGACCATTGGTATTTATCAATATAGAAACAGGTAAATGGAAAGGCTGAACATTTCATTTGAAAAGAAATCTATCTACTAGGTAGGTATAAGTATCATAGGTACCAACTGCAAACATTCATAAATCAATATGAATATAAGCATTTATTATTTTTAATATTAATTGCATTTTATGTTCATTTAATGCATATTATTTAAGTGCTTACATAGAGGTAAACACTAAATCTGTTCAGAATTAAGTATAATAATTATAACCTCAAAATCTAATACATTCTGTAGTAGGTAGGCCATGGTTCCTCAAGTTGTCCGTATCTCAACAAATGCCTAATTAGAGTTTATGAATGATTCCGAACACAACTAGATAGCATTTTCTCATTGCTGTGCGTTCTAGGGCATTCAATGTATGGGGAACGAGCAATGTCCTTTATACTTGACTATCCTCACAGTGGGCTTCTATAAACTTAACTATTTTTATTGCACTCTCTATTTTTCATTATTTATAGATCATAATAAGGACTGCTGTCATATTTTGTTGTAGTTTAAGAAAATAGTTTTCAATCTGAAAACGATCTATCTAGAATAACTATGAGTACCTACTTATCTAATTACAACATAATTATTTTATCGGTTTCGTTATGGTTAAGTTGTTCGAGTCTCAGGATAGCTTCATAGCGATTGCCAATCTGTCGGTGTCGCAACAGATGGTATTGTTCGCGTCGCCGTTATCTCGAACATCTGCGCTAATTTTTACACCACTCTTTATGTTCCAACGTGCAGTTATTGGAAATTATTCGGCCGTGTTGTATTTTAGTACACATTCGGCCATTGCAAATACTGGAAATATGTTTTGTATCATCATCAGCCTATTAATGTCCCCACTGCTGGGGCACAGGCTTCCCAATGGATGAAATAGGGAAATTGGGCCGCCACGCGCGCCCTGTGCGAATTGGTGGGTGCCAACGACTCCGAAGGGAGAAGGGAAGGGACCAACGGCTTAACGTGTCTTCCACTTAGTAAGGAAGCACGGAGGAGCACGAGATAGTATTTTAGTTAACCAACCAACACCAATGAGATGACCAACCACTGCGAAAGTTGCTTATGAGGGGAGCGGGCAATGTTTTTTTCCATACAAACGTTCTCGACTGATTCCTCCTTGATTTTTATCACTAAAGAATTGATTGTCATTGCAATACCTATTACCTCGAGAAAATTTTGTCTAAATATATTTAAAAAATCCAAAGTTCTAAGTGTCGGTTGTTGTTGTTTATAGGCTATGGTGAGTATGGTGGCCGCTCAGGCGGGCCATATATTTGTTTGCCACTCTTTTAAAATAAAAAAAACCCGAAGTATAATAGATAGTAATATTTTTTAAGCATTTAACTGCTAGATGTTTAAATCTAAAGACGCCGACGCTGCTTTGCAGCTTAAGAAATACTAGAAGAACCTTGACACGGCCATTAAGGCTGCTGTAGCATAATTGGTCAGTGCCTCCGCCTGGATAGTGGAGAGTGCGGGTTCGAGTCCCGTCTGCTGCCTGGCCGCGTGGTTTTTTTTTCTAGTAAAATTTTCATTATTATGTATTTTTACGATCCCACAGCGTCTCTGCCAGGCACTGAAGCTGCTCACCAGTTAGTAGTCAACGTGCGTAACAAATGCACGCCCGAGGAGGCCTTGAACGTCCTCCGGGAACTTCCGAACCCTTTAAGGGAAGGCGAGCAGCCGGCGACCGCACAGGCTGCGCCCCACAACCCGCTCAAGATAGACGTGTTTGTGCAGACCCTGCTAAACCTCGGCAGCAAGAGCATCAGCCACAGCTTCGCTGCGATATCCAAGTTTCATTACGTCTTCAAGGTAAGTCAATAAATCAATTGGCATTTCGTTATTAAAAGTAAGAAGTTAAGATGTCTCCTTGTTTATTTTCTCCCATATTCGACCACCATCACAAATTTTAAAATGTTAAAGATATGTAATTTATCCGGCACGATTTAAAAAGTTTAAAATAACTTATTTTCGACCGGGAATGGGTTTTATATTTATACTATAAAATATAATATTGCTAACCTTATTGTAGGCGAGTTATTATTTTGAACCGTCTCTACCGAGGTCGCAGATGAAACTTAGTACTTGCCTTTCGAAGCCCGGATGAGATAGATAATGCATTTTTGGTCAACCATCCGATGACCATTCACAGTGAAAGTAGCTTAACTTGTGGAAGTTAAGTACAACAACGATACGATAAATCTCAAAACGAACGCGCGAATTATTTGCGATATCGGGCGTTAGAAATGAAATGTCAGATAGGTCATTGTTGTTTGTTGTAGATCTTAGCCGAATCCGAGGAGGCTCAGATCTGCATTCTTCGCAACGTATGGGAGCTATGGCAGCGTCACCCACAAATGGTGTGCGTTCTAGTGGACAAGATGCTCAAGACTCAGATTGTGGAGTGCAGCGCTGTCGCCACCTGGCTGTTTTCTAAGGAAATGGCCTCATTCTTCACGCACGGATACCTCTGGGAAGTCCTGCACCTGACCATTGATAAGATGAATAAACATGTCACTAAACTTAGTGAGTATCATTTGAAGTGTAGGTTCTATCTATTTAGACTTTGTAGGTGGATGATTAGCTCAAGACAGATCCTGCAGTGCAGCACTGTCGCCACCTGGCTGTACTCCAAGAAGATGGCCTCGTTTTTGACGCAAGGATACCTCGGGGAAGTCTTGCATCTCACCATTCATAAGATGAACAAACATGTCCCTAAACTCTTATCTTAGAGAGTATCAATAAAAGGTTAGGTTCTATTTTCTAATTTGAATTAGAATTTCATTCTGTGTGAAAGGTGTAGGTAAATCACCATAGGATTTGCCTCTGGAAGACTTCATTCTGCTTTAAAACTACGTGCTTCTTTTTGTAAACTTTTTTTTTTTTATTAACTTATATTCTTTACATCTAGGTGGTGAGTTGCAAGAAGCTAGAGAAGCTTTAGCTAGAGCCGATTCCAGCAGTTCGGATTCAGAAGACGAAAGCGGAAGCAAGAAAAAGAAAGATCAAGATAAACCTACAGAAGAGGTTTGTTTTAGTATTCTGATCGATAGATGCTGGCCAAGCTACATATTTCAGACTAAGGTGTAGAGTTTGTGAAGTTAGGCCTTGTGGAGTTAGGGTATGTAGACTTACAGTTAGGAGATTTGCTCTTCATGAGATCTGTTAACTTTTTGACAGTACGAGGCATAATGGTCTCGTCTTGGCAATATTTAACATGAAAATGTTTTTGATGGGATCAGTTATTTTCAAATGTTGCGAAAATTAAATAAGTTATTACTAGTATTTTCATATAGCTTGAAGTTTGAAAAAATAAAAGCCTGTAAATTTCTTGAAGAATGGTTAGATGTCGGAGCATACTCTAAAATATATGGACGCATGGTAATCCTGCCCCCCTAGCACGAGCTCCGCGTTATGATATACTTCGTTTTTATCACGCTCAGTTGTTTAATTCTATGGAGTTTGACTGTCAGACGTGATAAAAAACGTGATATAATGTATATAGTGGTGTTCATGCTACGGGGACTGGCTGTGACTTATATTTTTTTCTAATGTCAAATGTTTACCGATCAGGCTGTAGAGCGCATGGAGGAGCGCTTAGAAGCTGCTCACACGGACCAGAAGCGACTATTCCTGATCGTGTTCCAGCGGTTCATCATGATATTGTCGGAGCACCTGGTGCGCTGTGATACTGACGCGCGCGATCCCGACACTCACTGGTACCGCAGCACTGTGGGCCGGCTGCGACAGGTGTTCCTGGTGGTAAGTGATGACCATAGACCATCTAGATTTAAGTAGATCATGATATTGTCGGAGCACCTGGTGCGCTGCGATACTGACGCGCGCGATTCCGACACTGACTGGTACCGCAGCACTGTGGGCCGGCTGCGACAGGTGTTCCTGGTGGTAAGTGATGACTATAGACCATCTACATTTAAGTAGATCATGATATTGTCGGAGCACCTGGTGCGCTGCGATACTGACGCGCGCGATTCCGACACTGACTGGTACCGCAGCACTGTGGGCCGGCTGCGACAGGTGTTCCTGGTGGTAAGTGATGACCATAGACCATCTAGATTTAAGTAGATCATGATATTGTCGGAGCACCTGGTGCGCTGCGATACTGACGCGCGCGATTCCGACACTGACTGGTACCGCAGCACTGTGGGCCGGCTGCGACAGGTGTTCCTGGTGGTAAGTGATGACTATAGACCATCTACATTTAAGTAGATCATGATATTGTCGGAGCACCTGGTGCGCTGCGATACTGACGCGCGCGATTCCGACACTGACTGGTACCGCAGCACTGTGGGCCGGCTGCGACAGGTGTTCCTGGTGGTAAGTGATGACTATAGACCATCTAGATTTAAGTAGATCATGATATTGTCGGAGCAACTGGTGCGCTGTGATACTGACGCGTGCGATCCCGACACTGACCGGTACCGCAGCACTGTGGGCCGGCTGCGACAGGTGTTCCTGGTGGTAAGTGATGACTATAGACCATCTAGATTTAAGTAAATCATGATATTGTCGGAGCACCTGGTGCGCTGCGATACTGACGCGCGCGATTCCGACACTGACTGGTACCGCAAATATCGCCGTTGCCATTCCTGACGCAATCCTCTACTCCGTGGAGTACTGGAACCTTACTTACCGACAGAAACACAACACCACCAAAAATACTGATGTTTTGGTCTTTTGTAATTGCTTCCCCCGTCGGGAACTTTAATTTGAACGGGAAATCCGCTATACCCAACCTCTGTTTAAAAGTAGTAGTTAAACAAATAAATGAAAAAAAAGCATTTATAAAAAAACATATTTACTGTGTATTTCACGTGATATTAACCACAGTCAGATTTTAGTATATATATGTAGATGAAACAAGGTCTTCTGTAATTGATTCCCCAGTCGGGAACTTTAATTCGAGCGGGAAATCCGCTATGCCTTACCGCTGTTCAATAGTAGTAATTAAAAAACTAAATGAAAAAAAAGCATTATTAAATCTGTGTATTTGACATGACATTAACCACAGTCAGATTTTAGTACATGTAGATAAAACAATGCCGCCCTAATTTGTTTGTCCGCATTTCCAGCACCACGAGCAGGTGCAGAAATACAGCAGCACGCTGGAGACGCTGCTGTTTACTCAGGACCTGGATCCGCATATTCTCGACGTGTTCCACCAGTTCGTGGCGCTCACGGCTTAATTTTGATCAAAATACCACAATGCACCATTGACTACCACCATCAACTAAATCATTTAATGAGGAGCTGGCGAACGAAACGGTATAATTACGCATCTGGCCAGACTACATTTTTTTACAGTCCGGAGGATACGGGCCCGTTGAATTTGGATCACAAGTAATTTTCAAACAAAACCGCTTAAAACAATTTTAAAATACTAAATTTATAAATTAAAAACCATGCCAAAAGCTCACTGTAGGTATGTCATTCAGTTTTAATCAGCTCCTGTAAAATTTAATTTTATGTAATTATACCGTTTTGTTCGCCAGCTCCTCAAATGTTATCTGTCACAATGCAATATCAAATAGTCTTGATCTGTGTAACACAAGGAATATAATTCTAATATTTGTATTGGTAACTACATATTTTTATGTAAATGTCGCTACTTCATAAATAGCTGAGAAGGTTTTTTTCGCCTGTTCTTTTTGTCAGCTAAAAGACGTACTCAAAAAAGTAAGAAAAAAATATATAAGGACGATTCAAAAGTGCTTTTTAATAAGTCAACTTGAATAAAGTTTTCATTTCATTGATGATGCAAGACAATAATGCATACAATACAGAGGGGGTGTTGGGGTAGTTAATTGTCTAATTTCAGCACGAATGTTTTGACCGAACTTTTGTTATGAATGACGAAGCAGCGATATTGTTCAATTAATCCCTTTTTAGAGGCATTCAGGCAGATATAACATAACTAAATAATTAAATAACAATAGATACCCTCAATAAATGTTTTTTTAAATATTTTATGGTTTTTTGGGAATTATTTTGTATTTGAAACAAAACGGGTCGGAACAATATTTTCTTGGAAAATAGTTTTGATATGAAAATCTTTCTAACTTAAAGTTGCCGTACGTGATAAGTGTTGAAGATAGACAATTGGGTCTCGGACACCGAAAATTTGAGGTGTACGCACAGAATACCAGAGGAAAGCGCATTTCTATAGAAACCGAAGAGCTCGATTTCGGGAGAACTTCCGTTGATATCATAGATCTAATGAAAAGTGACTTCATGAATCATCTCATATTGAAATCTATTTTCATATTAAATACTAGGGAAATAACAGCCATTGCTGAATTTCTTGACGGTTCTACTCAGTATTAAGGGCTTGAGGTCCGATGGCGTAATGACTTTCATAAGAGTTTTTAACAGCACTAATTGAATAAAATATATTGATTTAGAATTAGAAAACGGTCATAGCATGCCGGAGATGTAAGCTAAATTCGAACGTGAACGTTATAGAGTTCTACAAAGCTCGCGTGGCCGGGCCCCATTATTGTGTGTGATAAGGATTCACCATGCGTTGGTTTTGTTTACATTAACTAATTACTTCTTTACTTCTGCGTAGCTTTTTTTTCACTTTTGTTTCTTTGTTCGTTGCTGTTGCAGAATAGTTGTTGTTATTCTCGTAGGTACCTCTTCTCCAATTAGGCTTCCGTAGCAGCTTCGACTCGGTTGTAGTATATACATTGGCCTTGACATTCGCTTGCAGTTCCTGTGGTAACTTCGTATGATGCAAGAAATTGCCGGTTCTCCATAAATATTACACTTTTTAAGTACAGACAATTTCGCGTGGTAGTACTTAGTCATCTTCATCGATTCTAGTTTCGTTCTTGCTAACATTTCTTCCAGTCTATTAACAAAGCCAGTTGATCGTGGAACAGCGGTTTGGAGTGCTTGTTTCCATTCTTGCCAGGTCAAATCGTAGTCCTCTAGGTCGTCTTACCATTGTCGTGTAGAGCCTCGAAGAATAGAATTGGCGATCTTGACTATTCCAGCCATAGACATCTCCGAGTTGGTCAATCTTATGTAACCAGTTTTTGATGTTGCTTGATTTGTCTTCCGGGCGAAACTTTGGTATTACTTCAGCATAAGTTGGGGTAACTCGTAGTCTCTTGTTAGATTGCGGCGCTATGTGTTGTTCTTCAAAGAAAAAGAATTCTTTATCTTCGTCCATTGACGACGATGCAATCGAATCTCTGTGGTGGCGCTTGCCGAGGCCAAGAATGTAAGGTCTAGGCATTATCCTTAATCCCACTTCTGAAGTATAACAGAAGTTGGGTCAGGGTGTCGAAATTAAAATGCGGTTATATTCAAGTAACGTGTTCAGTCACCAGTATAAATAAAACTACATCCCGGGCCCCTATTACAATCTCGAAACAAAGAAACAAAAGTTAAGACTACGCAGAAGTAATTAGTTAATGTTAACAAAACCAAAGCATGGCGGTTAATCCTTATCACACACAATAATGGGGCTATAACAGAACTTAAATTGACAACAGTGTATCCTTGTCATTTTCTATACAGAACGAAGAGGAGAGACTGATGTAGGATTTAGTTTTACTACTCGATCGCTTCGTCTTTTTCACACTTCTCTCTCTTTTGGTAGTACTATTCTCTCTTTCTGGGGTAATCAATTAAATGCAATTAGTGCCCTTAGCACGAACCAATATCGAATTCGATTAGTTGGATTCGACTTCTTGATACAGTTCGTGCTGAGGGTACAATTCATTCTGTCTATGGTTGATGTAGTTGATATCATTCGTTACGGTCTATTTATAGAGCTGCACTTCTGGCTGTTATTCTGCGGTGTGCGAGCACTTTTTTTTTAACTTGTAACTATTTTTTTGTGCAGAGATGCACGATTGAAAAGACTTTCTGTATTATGTTAAAAACACCATACTGTCAAGTTTCGAATTATTTAAAAATAAAATATGGTCGCACGTAGTATGAAATTATAGATACATTTATAACCTTAGGTACATATGTTTAAGAATGATTTTATTTATTATCTTTCTTTCCGACCAAAATTGGTTCCGAAATTGTGCACTTGTAAGGGTGAAGCCAAACGAGCGTAATTTTGTGAGTTGTGAGTCGCTTATTTTCGGTCACTTATTTTACGTTCAACTGAACTTCTGTTGAGCTGCCATACGAACGTAATTTATTCAGTTACTATTGAGCGTTAGTACGGGGTGTTCGTGTCGTCGAGTGCAATGGATCCATTAAAAATATTGTGTATTTACGAAGCATATTCAGAAGATGAGGTCAGAAAAAGAAACTGGGTAAACCCACTGAATAGTCAGAGGCTGATATGTGGACAGTTCCATACTTTATATGAACGTTTATGTGCTAATCCAGATATGTTTGAAAAGTACTATCATATGCCATTACGTGTTTTTCAAGAATTATTACACCACGCAACTTGTAACAAACTGTTGCTTCCCCACTCCCCTTCCTTGTCCTACCCTCACCCCGACCGAAATTCGGACGAGCTTATGCGCATTGAGTCGGCAGACAACTCATTTTGCGTTGTCGTGTGGCACCAACTGCCTTTTTGTATGAAACCGAATGCAGCAGAATATCTGCGACCGAAATTCTGCGACTCACTACTCACAAAATTACTTTATGACTCACCCTAAGTCGAGTATTTGAAAATACTACGATGCTAATAATTTAAGCTATTCAATAAGATGCAATTTATGTTGTAGTTAATAAGTGTAGCTGTTATTATTTTATGTAAATAAAATATTGTAAACTATTTATGTTTTTATTTCAAATTTTACCTCGCCTTTTGACTGATACACTAGTCAGATTTCAAGTATATAAATGAACAGGGTAACGAGTTAATGGGATGCTAGCTTTATCACACAATCACTCTTATATTATAAAGGCGAAAGTTTGTGAGCGTGTATGTTTGTTACTTCTTCACGTCTAAACGGTTAGAGCCATTTTAATAAAATTTGTTATGGAGTTAGCTGACACCCTGGATTAACACATACGCTACGTTTTACTGCGGGAAAATATCCATAATAAACCGCGGGTAACACCGCGGGCCACAGCTAGACGAGGATGGAAATACACGAAGTGACAGCCAAGTTAACGATAACGGTAAAATTTCTCGGATCAACTTTGAGCTTAGTCGATGGATTACTCATTTAAATGCTACATTTATAAATATAAAGAAAATGATATCAAGAAAAAAATCTACTTGGTCCAGGTTTCTGATAGGCTCGGACTTCGCAATCGTCCGTCCATAATTTAGCAAGCCCAGGTTCAAGTCGTATCTGATGACTGGACAGAGCTGATTTTTATTCTGCAAAAAAAAATCTTTACATTTATTAAATTCTGTTATGAACTTTTATTTGAAATTCTAATAAGACTATTTCTCTGCCCAAGCAGCTTTGGAAATAAAGTATGAGAGAAGTAGAACGTAGGTGTTTTATAAATACGCTGCACGACGTAGAACCTTTTTTTTTTTAATACGCAGGTAAAAAATCTATTTACAGACGACGGCGCCTTTAAGAGGCACACCGCCGAACGGACCTCACACCTGGCTCCCGCAAGTCTTACGAACCCCACAGTGGCTGCCCACCGAGGACCCCGCAACTCTTACGGGCGCTTTACGGTATAATATCCGCTAAAAAAGTCCTGCGAATACCCTCTAAGCTGCTTAGTGCGAAACCGCGGGATCCCCGTTTAGGGATTCTTCCGCGTCTCCGCACCCAGCAGCCTCCCGGCCTAGCCGGGGCTCCACGGCAGGGGTCTCCCGAGGTATTGCGGGGACCCCGCAGACGTGCGCAGGATGGCCCGCGCGTGGGGGCAAAATACGCGGCCTAGTGCCCACCGTACCGCCCCCCGTCCGCTGCGTAGGACTACTTGGGCATGCCCGTGTAGCTCCCTCCGCCGCCCCCCCTCATGCAGGACAGAACTACAAGATGGGGGCTGCCGTCAGGGGATCCCTCGGTGGCCGGCACGGCACAATGCGCCGTACCGGCCAGCTAGGGATGCCCGCGGGCAGGGTCATGGGACGGGCGTAGCCAGGGCACGCACTCGTCCTCTTCTGCCGCTCTTCTTCGGCGGGAGGGAGCGGCCAGGGGATCATCCTCCCGCTCCCTCTCGGCTGCCTCCTTCTGCGAGATAACGTTCTCGCAGAAGGAGGCAGCCGCCTCCCATGCCGACTCGCTACGGAGCATGGCCTCTACCATGCTCCGCAGCGAGAGGGTTCCGCCTCCCAGCGCCGCAATCAGGTCGCGGCGCTGCTGCCGCCAGGCCGAGCACTCCAGCAAGGTGTGCTCGGCCGTATCGTCCGGGGCGCCGCAGTGATGACACTGCGGCGTTTCCTCCCGACGTGCGACACGGTACAGGTAGTGACCGAAGCATCCGTGCCCGGTCAGTACCTGCACCATGCGGAACGAGAGGCCGCCGCGCCGGCGACCCACCCACTCCTCCAACACCGGACGAATGGCCTCAATCGTCCGGTGGCCGGCGCTTACATGGGCGAGTGCCTCATCCCATCGCCGCAAGGCCTCTGCCTGCGCGATGGAACGGACTTGCCGCAGCTCTGTGCACGACGCAGAACCTGCAAACAAATAACGTTATTCTGTAATCACTTTACGTATGTATATTATACAGTTAGGCAAAGTAATATAAGAATTAGGATGAAGCATGAAGAAGACAGCATTCTTCTCCGTTCATTATTAAACAATATTTTAATATTGAACAAACATAAAATAAAACTGATCAAAGCTTAATTTTTATTTTCACTAAGGGAGTGGAATGAGCTTCTAATCATAAAAAAAACTAGACAACTCTTATTTTTATTCATTGAGGGAGATGATGCGTCTATTATTTTCTTTTTACTTCTTCATGCTTCTTATTAAATATTTAAGCATTTTTTTAATGTATTGTAATGTGCACGTATTTTTAACCTAGGGTCGATTTCTAACCGTGCAAGCGTCCGTCCAATATGCATTGGACATCACCAATGCACTCGTATTCCTGCACATGCAAGGTTACATACACACTGGTCTGAGCAGCGAAGGGATTATGATAACGAGTCGTGATGCTGCGAAATTGGCCGATCTGTCTACATGCCAACGCCTGCCTCGACATACTGCGCGGCCAGATAAGGGATATGAGATTTACTCACCAGAGCCGCAGTATGTCAATATTGAAGGTTGGTATCGAGCCATAAATGAGTGAGGGTCTCAAGTATACTAATACGAATAAGCATGGGAAGTGCCGGCGTAAAGTTGTTTGCTTATTCTAATAAGGCTGCAGACTGCAAAAATATATACCTCAAATGGAACCCTTCGTCCGTCCGTCTGTCAAGCCCGTTTTTCTCAGGAACGCGTGGAGGTATCAAACTGAAATTCATATCAAATACTCAGGTCTACTGTCCCTTGGAGCTGTGAAAAAATCAAACTTCTAAGCCAAAGATACAGCCGTATATGCCGCAAATTTTCGAAACTCGCACGGGAATCAAAACCGTCTTATATACTATAAGGGTATATAGGTTTTTTTAAAGCTTTCTTAGTCCATAAGCTGTTTATCATTCCAAAACAGATGCACACCAATCGAACACGATAGAAAACGAGCCGTTACTCTCGAACCGATCGTCCGAAGCGTACTTGCAAGCCAACGCGGTCTCCATAGACTACGAGCCGGTGAGCAAGTCGCCGCATTACCGATGGCAGGCGCCGGAAATGTTCCAACCCGACGAAGAGGGATTCGTTCACGCGTGCCCCAAGTCCGACGTGTATTCCCTGGCCGTGATCCTGTGGGAGTGCTGCAATGTAAGCGAATTGTGTTATACTAGCGGCGCCCGCGACTTTCCATTTTTCGGTTTAATAATAATGTAATATATAAAATTCTCGTGTCACGGTGTGTGTAATCGAGCTACTCTGAAACGGCTCGACCGATTTTCGTGAAATTTTACATGCATATTTAGTAGGTCTGAGAATCGACAACATCTTTTTTTCGTCCTCCTAAATGTTAAGGGGGGTCCATACTTATTTTTTTTTTTGGACAAAATTTTTTGTTTTTATTTTTTATACAATAATACATACAACCCTTTTCACCCTTCTACCAAGTTCGCTGGGACAGCTAGTAATAATATAGTCTTTGACACTCACAAATCGGTTCATTAGATTCAGATATTACCCCCTACAAGCTCACACACTACCTCTTTATAATATTAATAGACTAACAGATCGAAAATAATAATATGTATTTTGAAAAAATCCTTAAACCTGGCTGCAGCGCCACCTATCGGGCAGAGTTGTTAATTTCGTTGAGTATAAAAATATTCTGTCCAACTTTATTACTTTTTGTTTTCTGTAAGAACATTCTACAAAGTGATAGACAATTAAAAGGATATACTGTACTTTCTGGGACCAAGACTTAATTTTGTTGGTTGCAATGGAGAATGCTCATGGATGTATGGACCGCCGTACAATGGTTGCATCAATACCAAACAAATGTTAAATGATCGTTTAATATTCAAATTAGTATGACAAATTGGAATTTTGAAAATAAAAACAGGGGTTTTAATGTTATTGTAAAAAATGTGACATAACCTCAAATCCTTAATAACTCCTATTTAAAGTTGGTTTACAGCTATTTTGGGTACTTTTTTATTCTGTTATTTTTGATCAACTTGAGTCTTTCACTGTTTTTCCAACATACTGCATAGATTTTCATGACAACACAGATTTCAGTGATGGCAGATTTACGTATATAGGTAAATAAAAACATTAATATAGGACACTTTTTATTAGATTACATATATTAATTGTACACATTATATTTGAATTACCAGTATATTTCAAATCAACATAATCTTCATAGAAAAAATAATCTAAATAAGGCACCAGAGCAGTAACATCATTGTAACGACCCCAACTTAAAAACTGAACTACAGTCATTATGTGGTCCTAACAGCCCACAGGTTGTTCACCAAGGAGACAGCTGCAATAATAACCTTTTATAGCCTCTAATATGTCTGCCAAAGCAGCATCTCTACTGATAAGTAAATATGAGTTATATGTATGCTGCTTAAGTGTCAGGATTTAATCCTACCTCTTAATAAATAATTATTTAGACCTAAAACAAGAGGAATATCATCTACAAACAAACAAATTCAAACAATTTGTAGCTTTTGTCTTACAATGTTCTTATGAAGCTCCTGGATTATTGAAAAGAGTGGCCAATCTTTCGTTGTTATCAGCAGTTCTTAATTTAACTAAATAAATACAAAAGGCTATAGAAGCGTTTGGCACTTGATCTGCTAGATTGGTATACAGTTGAGCAAATTATAAAACTGTTCAGAGTTCATAACAAGTCAATAATGACATAAATGAGGAGACATAATTGAAACATTAGAAAAACCTAATTAGTAATTGGCTGATCGCTGTATCATAATCATTATATTATCAAACTGTGTGCCAGTAAAATCTCTTAATTAATTCAAATTCATTCATTCAAAAATTCATTCCATGAACCATAATTCAAAAAGTGATGACAAACACATGCACCAGCTGGTATGCACAATTTATTATTATACAATAAGAGATCCCTGATGGTAGATGAAATAAGTAGACATTCAGGCTCTAAACAATTTGCAAATACACAGGATACATGTATGATGATGATGATACAATTTTTAGAGTCACTTGTTGAACTGCTTCTAGTCTTGGTTGTGGCAGAGGAGGTGGCACAAGTATAGAATGATTGCCACTTAATGTAGTATCTACAAGAGTAAGGCGACTTGAGTCATGTTGTTGTTGATTTTGTACTTGTTCAATCTCCAACATGCAGCACATACATGTTCCATTCTTGAGATCTAAAAAGATAACATTAATAAAAAATAAATAATTAATATGGAAAATTCCTTTCTGTTTATTTTAAGGAATTTCTGTATTCTCTCATCATCTATTACCTGTCTAGTGATAACAAAACAAATAAAATAAAATAAAATCTAAATGTTACCATGACTACTACAAACATCTTAGTTCTGGATTTGTAATTAAGTATGATATGCAATAATAATACACAGTAATAATAGTTTTCTCATAAGATTGTGATAGTAAATGATTGCTAACCTAAGTATCTAGAACTGTTATTACTTTTTTAAGAAGTCAAACAAAACAGTTAATATATATTTCATACAGTTAGTTGCACATGACATTAGACAAACAATATTAGCTCACCTGAGTAGGATTTATCCATGACTGTAATATGTTGAGGGCTAAACTGTTCTTCTACAAAAAAAAATTAAGTATCACCTCTTGGGCCCTGGAAATACAGTTTTACAATACATTGGTTTAGCCAGTCAAATAGTCTAATCGTCATCGATTCCTCATTTGTAGTAGAATGCGTGAGTAGAGAACACTACAAACACACATACGGTAAATAAACGTCCTGTCGTGAATGCACTATTTTTCCTGAAAACGTCTTGCCTGTCTTAACAACTCAGAAAAAAAACGTTTCATACGTTCACACGCAATCATTATCACTTCACAATTTATGTAAAAAACTCAATCAACACAAAAATATGAGTACTAACAACAATTGACAATTCTCCAATCATTTGCAATAGGGTAGGGTGGTGATGATCTGAAATTGAATATACGAATAATCGATGGAATTAAAGAAAAATGTTTTTGTATATAATCGATTTTACGCAATGAATAGATCTTTTCAGATACAAATAAATCCAGATTCAATTAATTAATAAACAGCATAGAAATAAATATAATTACTAGTTATTACTTAGTTAATGATGAAATCGACAGTTAGGTGAGCGCCTTCTATAAAAACGATTAAAGATTTTCGCGGAATTAACCTTCTTTAACATTATTAATACGTGTCGAATTTTTAAACTTAGATTCGAATACCCCGGCTACACGTTCCGTCTTACCTAAGAGCATGCCTGCACAGATTAACTAGCCTCTCTTTGTCGTCATTGTCGTCCGTCCCTCTCTAACTTAGATACTTTTATGGACGTAGAACAGGACGCGGCACAAGCTAATGTACAATCATTGTATTTTGCGTACAAGAATAAGGCTGTTTGACTACGTAGGCAAGACAAAGCGCTGGGTAAGCACGTGCCTCTTTTTGTCCGACTACCTACATGCTCGACATTTTATCATTTTCATCTCTATGCTTAACACGTTACATCCAGTAAGTAGACACTACATACAGCAAGAGACGTGATAGGAAAGTGTCGAGTTAAGCCAAGCGACGGGTTTCTGACTATGACGTATTAAGCATAGAGACGAAATAGATAAATAACGAGTTGTCATCGCAACAGTTAAGACAATAAAAACGTAAAATCACTATTAAACAATAATTAGTAACACGTGATTTATTTGCTTTTTGATGCCCCACTCATCGGTAACAAAAACAACAATCGATTATAATGTATAACTAATAGGGTACTATGGCATCACTATTTTTACGATAAATAAACAAACGTCAGATATCCGGATCAAAATATAAACAGTACTATGACTAATATTATTTTAAAAATTATTCCCTGTTCAAAATAGCCATTCTGATAGACCATCGTACGTATAAATTAAAGAAAATAATTATCATAATAATTTTATCTTGAGGCATGAGACAAAACTGTACCAAATATGGGCATTCTCCTTTGCATGTTTTTTGTTGAAAAAGTTCTGTTAATCTGTCAATTGTCTGTAATGTAACAATTAAAAAAAAAAGGTTTATTGTTATTTTTTATAATACTGTTCAAAAGTGTTGTAATGTTTAATAATAACATTACTATGTAATTAAAAGAAAATAAAATTTGTGAACAATGCATGTAATTTAATGTAGTTGAATGAATTACTTTATTATTGACTAGTGGCCCGCCCTCGCTTCGCTTCGGTGTAGAGCTGTAGTGTAAACTATACTTTTTGTTCTCAGGCTTGTGCTATAAAGAATGACTTTATTTATATAATTACACGTGTTATTGTGAGTCAACCATAAAAGATAGACATATGCTGTTGCGGGATATTTTTTAGACAATTTTATCCTTACACGCCTGAATAGCTCGCAGATTGCAGAATTTTTTCAGACTTAAATGACATTTATCGTTATATTTTGGACAATTCACACAATATCTTTATAAATTATAGCCTATGTGTTATTCTGATCTATAAGCTACATTACTGTAAAGTTTCATTAAAATCCGTTTAGTAGTTTTTGCGTGAAAGAGGAACAAACATCCATCCATACATCCATCCAAACAAACTTTCGCCTTTATAATATTAGTAAGGAAGTAAGGATAAGGATAAACTGCCGCCAACGTCCATACCACGTTGAATACACCGGTTCTCGTCCGATCACCGAAGTTAAGCAACGTCGGGCGCGGTCAGTACTTGGATGGGTGACCGCCTGGGAACACCACGTGATGTTGGCTTTTTGATATTTTTTTATTATTAAGATATAATGCCATTCATTTTTACTTGTGTTTTGTATAACATAAATTTATTAAAATCAAAAGTAACAATATTTTTTTTTCGATTAACGCCAACGTCAATAATGTATTGTATTATGCCATTTTTTACTTGATTTCTTACCTCAGAGAAGACATACCTACCTACCTGCAAACAAATATCTTGCAATTTAATGCATTACTAAAAATATTTTAATGACAAAGCAGCTCTTATGAAAGGGTAAAAAGGTTAGCAAAGCTGAATTGTCACTACATAGTACCTATAAAGAAAAGTCGCTTCCCACTGTCTGTCCCTATTAGTCGGAGAGCCGGCTGTATACTAGTTATATGGATCAGATACATGAATAATTTTTGGGGTATGAACAATAAAGCAATAGATCTAGAGGTCGACACCCCTGAAGTTTCTTAATTTTGTCCGCATGCAAAATTATGACATCACTGCCGGTTTTTATTTTAGGTGTTATTGTAATTTATCAAATACATGAAGAAAGTGTATGTCAAACGAAAGTTTTTGATGAGTAGAATAGAAATTTCAAGGGTCGACAAGCTCTATTTATTCGCTACCCTGTGTCGACCACCATTTCTTTTTAATTTATCTTAAGCCATCGAATACATTTAGTCGATTAGGTATTAGAAGAATACCATTGTGTATAATACAAGCCTGAGAACAAATAGTATAGTCTACACTACAGCTCTACACCGAAGCGAAGCGAGGGCGGGCCACTAGTATTAAATATTTTATAAAGCGTCGTTTTGTTTATCAGTTTGAAAAAGGTTGACTAGCACGTGGTAGATTATGATAGTGGTTTTAAAATTCGCTTCACTTGTTGCCAACGTCCATACCACGTTGAATACACCGGTTCTCGTCCGATCACCGAAGTTAAGCAAAGTCGGGCGCGGTCAGTACTTGGATGGGTGACCGCCTGGGAACACCACGTGATGTTGGCTTTTTTGCTTTCTTTTATTTTCTTATAATTCTGTCTTAAAATTTTGCTATGTTATTAATTATGTTTATATCTGTATTCAGATATAAACATGAAATAATTCTATTCATTACAACTCTTTTCCTTAAATTATTTAGAATTTGTCAGTTCTCAAAGTTCGAAAGATAAAACAAACCTATAAAGTGCCTATAAATAAAAAATAAATATTGAACTATTACGTAGTAATTTTAGAACTCACTGTGAATATACAATTATTTACCAAAATAGAACAAAATTGTTTAAATATACTAATTCTGCACAAATGTGACATTATGTTGTCTTGGTTCTTCGTCATCTCTGTTATTTTTTTACGGCATCAAATTCAAGTAAATCTCTATCTATAATGGTATCGCACGCAAGTACCTACTTGCCAGCGGTCCAATGCCGCTGTTTCATTTTATTGTATGTAGAAAAAAGAGACAACTTGTCTCGGCTCGGTCGCAGCCGCCGCGAGTCAAGAGCTATTCATTCCGATCGATAAACAAAATGGACGATTCGGAGCGAGTAATATTTACAGAAACGAATAAAATTAAACTATGAATACAGTCTAAACGAAAACAACATAACTTTTTCATGTTTCTCTTTTACGAACTACTGAAGTGCTATCATTGCTTTGTATAATAACATCAGCGATATTAATGACGTTGTACCGTGGACGCACTACCAGCGCTCAAAATATGTCCCAACCGTGTGGTGCTTAGTCACCGCGTAAGCACTGTCTCGCTCAGTCGTGTGCTAGACGTCGAGAACTCAATATGCCAAAGTGCGCCGTGAAAAATTGCAAAAGCAACACATTAACCACCAAAAAAAAGGATGGGGTGTCTTATTTTCGGTAAGTACTAAGTCTATGCTTGTAAATGTCGTACTTAATCTTTTATTAAATTGCTATGTTTGCTTTCTTAAAGAGTGAGACGCAGTCGTCTCTTTTTCTCCGTTAAGTGTTTGAAGGGTGTACGTGTATTGGAACATAGTCAAAGTTTTAATAAATGGAGTAGCTATTCTTTATTAAGTATAAATTTTGTCACCATTTGATTGATTTAACACTTATTTGCATTGTAATTTTTTGTGTTGTTTTGTTTTGTAATATAAGTAAAAAAAGTGTGTCGCGCCGAAATTTCCTTGGTAATAAAAAACCCACCCATTTTCGGGTTTTGTATCCAAAGAATATCAATACACCAGTGTCCGTCTGTGTGTATGTCGATTACCAGGTTGTTTGTCATGAACCATGATAGCCAGACAGTGTTTTCAGAGATGGTGTATCTCTGTTGCCGCTGTAACAACAAAACCTTACGTGTATTTTTGCCGTTTTTTGCTCTATATTAATAACGACAACAAACAGACACTTGAAATATTCACATAATATTTCATTTTATATTCACTATAAAATAAATAATTAAGTTAAAATTAAATAAATTTTGGAATTGTTGCCAGTTTAACAAAATATATTACAACTTCTTAATAAAAGTTGCTTAGTCCCGAAAGAAGTTTTCTAATTTGACATCTACTGGTAGACATTATATTGTGACTGTACAATTAACACTACTTATATTGTATGTATTTTCAGATTCCCAATAAATGAAACGGAAAGAGAAAAATGGCGGACCATCATAGCCACAGAGAGAAGAGAAGAATCTTTTAAACCTAATAATTCAAGCGTTGTTTGTTCAAATCATTTTTTGGAAAATGATTTTTACTTCACAAAATGTGGCCGAAGAAAAGTAAAGAAAAATATTCTTCCACGAGTTGTGGTACGCATGGCCCATACGACAAGTTATTTTTTCTGATTGCCAAATAATAATACCACGTGAAAAATTTGTAATGTATAGGCATTACAAAATTTTCACGTGGTATTATATATTTTATAGATTTACACTTCGTTAGTGAGTTAACTTACGGTCTTGGCGAGATAAGTTCTTAACTGTTCTGCTTAACTGTCCGATTTCTAAACTCGCTACTGTACTTAGCGAATTGTAAATTAGCATTTATTAAATTGTTATTAGCATTAGCAGGTTAACATTTATTTTTCCGTTTTTTTTTACTATTTCTATTCATTGTTGCAGAAAACTGAGAGAGAAAATGAAGATGAAACGGAAATGCGAACAGACGTAAATGATCTAAGTACGCCACCACCGACACCATCAGGAGTAACTTTAACTATCGACTCACTAATAACATCGGCCTGTCAAAAACTTATCTATGTATGTCATAAATGTATCTATTTAGATAGTAGTTCCGTACCCAAAGAGTAAAAATAAAATGTGATAGGTAGACAGTTGATAATTTCACAGATGATGTATTTTTGTTGCCGCTATAAGAAGATACTAAGAAAATAAAATAATTATTTAAGGGGGGGCTCACATACAACAAATGTAATTTCTTTTTGTCGTTTTTGGTCTATATTCATTACGGAAACTTCAATAATAATTAAAATAAAAAAAAATACATAAGGGTGACTCTCCTACAAGTCATACAACAGAAGTGATTTTTTTGCCAATTTGTTACTCCATATTATGTTATAGTGTCAAAAAAAATGATGGAACGGAACCCTTCGTGCGCGAGTTTGACTCGCACTTGGCCGGCTTTTTTACTATTTTTATTCATTGTTACAGAAAACTGAGAGAGAAAATGAAGATGAAAATAAAACACAAACAGACCTAAATGATCGAAGGACATCACCACCGACATCAGCAGGAGTAACTTTAATGGTCGACTCTCCAAAAACATCGGCTTGTCAAAAATTTATATGTGTATGTCAAAAATTATCTATTTATATGTATTTACGTAGGGTTCCGTACCCGATGGGTAAACAGGACCCTATTACAAAGAATCCACTGTCCGACTGTCTGTCTGTCACCAGGCTGTATCACATGAACCGTGATAGCAAAACAGTTGAAATTTGCAGAAATGCTATATTTTTGTAGCCGCTATAACAACAATACTAAAAACAGAATAAATATATATAAAAGGGGGACCCCTATACAGCAAACATAATATTTTGCCCTTTTTGTGTTCTATTTTAAAAACGGCGGCAGGTACTTAAAATATTCTCAGAATATTTAGTTAATTTCATTTAAAAAATAAATTATTCAATCAAAATATATAACTATGAAAAAACAATATTACATGGGGGCTCCACGTGATTTTTTTGGCATATATTTTAATACAGTATCTAATTTTATATAGATAATGGTACGGAACCCTTCGTGCGCGAGTCCGACTCGCATTTATCCGGTGTTTTACTTATTTTATATTCATTGCACTTGCAGAAAACTGAGAGCGAAAATGAAGATGAAAACAAAATGCGAACAGACGTAAATAATCAACGGACACCACCACCGACATCATCAGTTGTAACCATAACTGTGGAGTCGCCAAAAACATCAGCTTTTAAAAAATCTCTGGAAACTTGTCAAAAATTTATCGAATTGAAAAATAGACAGATTATTAATTTAAAGAAGAAAAACAAGAGGCTAATGAAAAAATGTCTGAACTTAAAAGGAAAGGTAACAGATTTAAAGAAGGAACTTCGGGTACACAAACCTTCGAAGAAAACACTGAATACTACTGTGAACGAATTTACTATAGTACGAGATATATTAACAGCAAAAAGAAAAGTCCCATTTGGCACATATCCACCTGATCTTCGAAAATTTTCATTGAACATGTATTCCCACTCACCAAATGCCTACAAATATCTACGTGAAGTATTCTCTGAAACTTTGCCACATCCTAATACATTAATGAGGTGGCAAAAGCCTAAAACTGTCCAATGGCCTGACCCAAATTTCGTTATAGTAGAGATTCCAGAGATTAATCACGATTAAAAATGTTTGTACATACATTTGTTGGTAAAGTATAGAATAGACCTTAAACAACAGACAGTATTATTAGAAACGTCCCTACGCAAATTTCGGCAGTAAATAGCCTATTCACTTTTTTTTATATTTACAGTGTTTAACTAAAGAAAAAGTTGCATATCCATCGAAGCTTTTTAAAATGAGTATCTTAGTAAAAATTTTAAAATAAAGCAGTAGTGGATTACTAGATAGCTTGGTGATTATCACTTCCATTTGTTAAAAGCAGTTAGCGAAAAGGCCTACTGAACTGTCGACAAAATGTGATGCGTGAGTCATCACTGCACGAACGTTTATAAAACACCTTAGCATAATGAATGCCTCGATCATTATGAATGAATATGAAAACTTACATAGTTATATAATAATTATGATATCTTTTTATATTTACCCTTTAGAACGACATAAATGTCTGTGACGAACGATATCGGTAATAATGATGATTATGGTAAGAATATTGAATTAAATAATATACATACTATTAATAGTATTTTTTATTTATCACATTTTTAGATGACCCTCTCTAAGCCCATGGTTGGGAAATCGTGAATCATCATTTAAATGCTACATTTATTTATAAATTTATAAATAAATGTAGCATTTAAATGAGGATTCACAATTTTTTGACAAAAAAAAATCAGTTTATGATTATTTGATGTGCGCCGGACTGTTCAAAGAAAAGATTTAAGTATAATAGGTACTTATAGAAAGTACTATAAATAAATAAGGGGTAGATATACAAAACCAAGAATGAAAATATAACGCAATATCAGTCTTTTATTAAATCAAAGCCGGGTGTGATTCAGTTGAGATATTTGAGCAGTTCCTCGACATCCTTCTTGGATCCGAGGAAGCAGGGCGCTCGCTGATGTATACTGGTGGGGACCAAGTCTAGTACTGGTTGCTTTCCGGTGCTGGCCAACCCGCCCGCTTCCGTCACTATGAACGACATTGGGTTGCACTCGTAGAGTAGTCGAAGCTGCGGACAATAAAGATACTTATATTACCGAGTTTTAATTATTAATGCTTTGTAAGTTGTCCCGCCAAACAAAGAAATTCGGAGAACCCGACTGCAGCACAATCTAACGGTTCTATTTGTGAAATACATACGAACGAACACTGCCATGAAGGGTTCCGTAGCAGGAAGTAACATAATATAAAATTTCTTGTAGTTCGTTGTAACTTTGATCGATGTCATAATAATAGTGTATTTTTTAAAATTAAGTTATTGATTTATTTTAGGAAATAATGGTTCACGGTTTATGTTTATGAAATTAAATTTTAATTTTTATATTTGAGTTGATTGAATAAAAGGTAAATTGCGGTTTAAGATTTATGACGGATTAAAAAAACTACTTACTAGATCTCGTTCTAACCAATTTTCGGTGGAAGTTTGCATGGTTATGTACATCATATTTTTTTTTAGTTTTATAATTCTCTTATTTTAGAAGTTACAGGGGGGGGGGGGACCCACACATCTTACCGCTTAGAAAAAAAAAGAAAACATATTAGAAACCTCAATATGCCATACGGACGGACAGACAGACATGACGAATCTATAAGTACATAATTTTTCCTTCGACGCGACAATGGTGACGGGGAACACGATGGAACACCACTTAACACGGGCCGTACGCATTGTCTACGGACAACTGCTCCATCTTTTGTACGTAGCGGTTGAGGCAGTCTTCCCATTCCGACTGCATTGAATCTATGGTTATTAGGCGCGACCTCGGTGGCGGGATACATGAAGATGCAACCGTACTTAATGGTGCGATGCACGTCCACCACCAAGGAGCTAGCGGAGCGTACGCCTTGCCTACTGACGGCTGCTGCTTCTCTTCAATGTACCTCTCGAGACCGGCCTCCCATTACAACTGCATTGAATCTATGGATATTAGATGCTATAGATTGCCTTCCCGTTAGGCGCGACAATGGTAGCGGGGAACATTATGGTAACCCGCGCCGTACTCCTTGCCTACGGACGGCTGCTTCTTCTCTTCAACGTAGCGCTTTTTGCCATCCTCCCATTCTGATTGTATTGAATCTATGGAGATAAGATGCTATAAGTTACCTTCCCGGTAGGCGCGACAATGGTGGCGGGGAATATGATGGAACACCACGTAACACACGCCGTACACCTTACCTACGGCCGGCTGCTGCTTCTCTTCAACGTAGCGCTTATTGCAATCCTCCCATTCTGACTGTATTGATTTTATGGATATTAGATGATTATAGGTTTTTAGATGATGATATGATATATGTTACGTCTGCGGGGTCCCCGCAATACCACGGGAGACCACTGCCGTGGAGCCCCAGCTAGGCCGGGATGCTGCTGGGTGCGGAGACGCGGAAGAATCCCTAAACGGGGATCTCGTGGTTTCCTACTAAGCAGCTTAGAGGGTATTCGCAGGGTTTTTTAGCGAATATTATGCCATAAAGCGCACGTAAGAGTTACGGGGTCCTGAGTGGGCAGCCACTGCGGGGGCTCGTAAGGCTTGCGGGAGCCAGGTATGAGGTCCGTTCGGCGGTGTGCATCTTAAAGGCGCCGACGTCTGTAAATAGAGGTTTTGCCTGCGTCACAAAAAATGCTATAGATTACCTTTCCGTTAGGCGCGGCCTTGGTGGCGGGGTACATGAAGATGCCGCCGTACTTGATGGTGCGGTGTACGTCCGCCACCATGGAGCCCACGTAGCGCGCGCCGTACGCCTTGCCTACGGACGGCTGCTTCTTCTCTTCTACGTACCGCTTGAGGCCCTCCTCCCATTCCGCTGCGTAACCTGGAATACAATCAATGTTGGACATTAGACATTTCGATAAAGCTTGCTCACATTTAACACCACTATAAAAGTAGGATTGCTAATACCTACATCTAAGTAATATTTTTTTTACGTCATACTCCATACGCATACCTACCTTGGACAAAGTTCCGCCAAGAACGCCCCCAATGCCTTCCCTATGAAGGAAACTCCACGCGAAGTACACTTTTCCCCAGTGCGTGTCCCGATGAGCCGAGGTGTTTCGTTCGGTAAGGGCCTAATTAAAGTTCTCGCCAAGTTACTTTAAAAAAACGCCTTCGTTGATGGAGTAGATCTTGCCTTGTCTGGTATCCGCATGTTGGGGTCGGTGAGTATGAACTCGCTGAGTATGAAGTCACACATGAGTCCGTGCACTCGCTTCCCAAAGCCCAGGGACGGACAGAACCAGTATGGTCTCTGTTCCGTACTGCGCGTATAGTGTTATTCAAACTTTATAGAGGTTGTGAAATTACCGCAAGTCGTAATGTAGCGTGACATAAACGCGCGCGGTATAGAGCACAATAATGCGCATCTTCAATTCATCACTGAATTGAAGATGCGCATTAATGTGCTCCATAGTACTGACTTCACAAGCGCCATTATGTTTGAATCGGACTACCTATATCCGGCAGCCATAAGCTCGCGACTCTGGCCTCAGCGTCTCCACTTCCGAAGGCGCGTCCGGTTCCGATAGCTCGCTCGCTGACTGTTCTCTGTTTGCGAGACTGATGACTTTAAATACCAACCTTCGTTGATGGAGTAGATCTTGCCCTTGTCTGGTATCCGCATATTGGGGTCGGTGAGTATAAACTCTCCGATGGAGGGGTCATACATGAAACCATGCACTCCCTTCCCGAAACCCAGGGAGAGTACCATCATGGTGGCGGACCCGTACAGAGCGTAACCGGCTGCCACTAATTCACGGCCCGGCCTTAGAGCGTCCGCTTCTGAAGGCTCGCCGGCCGACTGTTTCCTGTTGGATATTATAAAGATGAAATTAATATCCAGTAGGTAAGAACTTTGAGTTTTTTTATTGTGATCTATTGCGGAGTTGCCATCTCACACTTGCGCATTTCGACTCGCGCTTTTTGTGCTTTTAAGTCGCGCATGCTATTTTGCAATGCTATTCTGTAAGAACAAACTTATTTTTCAACTCGGAATCTGCGGTTACATTTAAAATTAATTGAAATTAGACCACGACTCGTGGATCCCGCGGTGAAAAATGAGTTTGTTCTTGCCGAAAATCATTGCTGGACAAACACATGTCCAGCAATGATTTTCGGTTGAAACGCTTGATATATTATATCACGTGCTCCGTGTATATCACGGACCGTTGAATTAACGTTCTTGTTAATATTGATGCCTGATTTAATAATGCTCAATTATACAAACATTGTGAAAATAAGCTCATAGCATGTTAGATACTAGATTAAGATTTTACAATACTTAATTTATGCAGCAATAAATCACTATGATACAGCATAAAATTAATTTAAATAATATTTTCTCTCGTAAGCATGTTAAGATAAAACACAGAGCCACCAGTAGTATCGTTAGCGATAACGAAGTCCGGGTTAAAATATAAACAGAGTTGGAAATCAAGTGGAATTGTTTATTAAAAATAGCGGTCGTGATTCTTCGCATTAATTACAATTATCGATGGGTACGTTAATTACAGCACTTATGTATAGGTATATTAAGTACTAGAAAATTAAATTGGTTGCTCCAATGGAGAGCATAGAAATTATTGTATTAGGTCTTGGGTTCGAATCCTGGAGATTAAGTGTGTGAGATGAGCTTGTGTATTTTTTCTCGAGTTGTGGTTGTGCAAATAATGCATGTAGGATTTATATCAGTTATTTGTGTTACAAACTGTAAAATTGGGGCGAGTTGTCTTATTTCGGGGTTGTGTTTTATCGGGCACGGAACAAGAAGAGTGTACCTGATTTATTTTGAAGCTTAAGCGTATACCAACACGTTACGACACTTGTATACTATACCTAGAATCCGAATCGTCAGGGTTAATGAAAAAAATAATAAATCGCGACTTATAACCTTCAAAAAGTGTTTTTTTAGATTCTTAAATAGTTGATACTTACTTATAAATCGAGAATATAGATCCAACTGACACAAGGCAGTCGATGTTGGAGGATCCGTCCAGCGGATCGAAGCACACTATGTATTTGCCGCGCCTTTCAGTTTCCACCTGTAATCACATTTGATACTGTCTTTATTATTTAAGGGCTTACTACAACTATCGACGCTAAAGTTAGTCATTTAAATGGTTACGACGACCTTAATTTGTTTGCAGTTTCCTACGATAGCTTTATTCATCCATAGACTTTCTTTTATCATCTAATGACCATTTTCAAAAATCCTATTTACGAAATAAAAGTTGCTAGAGTCTTATCTTACTAAAATAAACGGTTTCGGAGTAAAGTTATTAAAATGCCTTAGGTACTTGGCGTCATCGTCTTGTCTGCGTTCATTACCGATCGGATCGTAGAAAACAAACTTCGTTCTACTTCATGTTTCAAGACTGGGTCGTTTCTTACTTTCGTAACAAGTCTTTGATGATATTGTTTTATTGATTTCTTCTTTAAGTATGTATGATCTGATGGAATCGATCGAGCCGTTAAATGCCCTTGAAGACTTTCACTGTTGGATACTAGATTGAATACTACCCGATAGCATTGACCAATAATATAGTAAAAAATAGTTGTCTTGAGACAACGAAGGAACTTTATTATTTATTTCATTGCAGATTTTTAATTTGTTAGAAAAGGGAAATGGGGATACATTAATGAATGAATACGCACCTGTATAACTTGAGGGTTTTCCTCGGAGACCAGCAGGCAGGTGGTGAAGGAGGACTGGAGCATGTTGATGAACAGATCGTTCGAGAGGACGTCCAGCTTTTTGACCTCTTCGCCTTGAACATTGGTATCTCCAGAGATTCCGTGTCTGCGTGAGTGTGAGATTCGTTACAAAATAAAAAGGAGAATTGTGTATTTTGTGGTATCATGTAGCTATTTAAGTAGTTTTTTAATTCTTAGTCTCTCTAATTCTTAGTTGAGTAATAGTACAAAATTTGAAAAAAAAAACAGTTCTACGAAGTATTTCCAGACTTTGGTGAATGCCACAACTTAACGTGGCTGAACGTAAAGATATTACAAGGTACTGATAACCGAGTTCAAAGACAACGATATTAATTAAGGTTTCAAGATAAATCTGAAGAAAATACTCGATGTTTACACTTTACGGGCACGGAACAAGAAGAGTGTACCTGATCAGGTACTTGTTTGTTTTTTAGAGCTATTTATAATAAAGTTTGTGTCTGGTCGTTGGATTTGTCGTCTTGATAAGGTCGTAGAACTCGAAGTTGAAGTCGGTGGAACGAAACTTGGCAGTCCCCGCCTCGTTTTGTCTCATAGTCCATTGTCCTCTTTTTTCCTGACCGTACTGTCATAATGTCCGTCTGACATCTGTAGGCTAGTCAGTCAGTCTAACTATGTAGCTATTGGCTAACAATAATCTACTTCGGTCGTTGCGACGTAGATTTATGTAAGTACATATACTTCCAGTATTCCAATTTGCCCTGCATGTTTATGTATAAGTTATACATAAACATGCAAGGCAAATTGGAATTCTCTATGATAATTTGCTTTGAAGTAGTCTGATAAAATTCTATGCTAATATCAACCGTACAACCACTTTTAAAAGGTCAAAGGGATTGGTAAAGAATGTTTGTGTAAAGATTATAATATGTAGATATGAGCATAATATGAGAGTTATGGGGGTGTGTCACATACGTAATTAAGTTTAAACGTGTAGGTAGGTCTGTAGTGTAACACTGTAATTCTAATAATTAATGATGTTATCAAAATATTATGACTAGATTAAGAAAATGAAGCATGAAAGTGGGTAGACGTTACATTAAAAAACTTAAACACGCCAAAAAAGTTTTAGAGGCAAGTAAGTATAATTTATCCATCAGTCGAAACAACAAAGGTTGCGTAGTTAAGTATGTCAACTCACAGTTTAGCGATGCCGGCTTTCCTTACAGCCGACTGTATAGCTTTTACCGCTGTTTGTATAGAGTTTAGCAGTTGCGTGAGGTCCCCAGTTGCGGTAGGCGCTGTTCTTTGTTGAGCCAAAACCCAGCGAGTTAGGGTCATAGCATTTACATCGAACGCCGGTCCATGTTGTGACATTTTCACGTTTAATATTAAAATAGAAGGAGATAGTGACTAAAACGGCTACGTGTCAGCTCAGCTGACGCCGCCGGAGGACTGGCTAGATTGTAGACGACAGCAGCTCGTATGAAGGTCGGTGAGTATTTTAGACTTGCATCTGACGTCACTGATATGATATCACACAGTCAACGTTTCCTTTGTAGTATTAAGTAAGAGAAATTATTTTGCCCGATTTCTTAGGGTATATTATTGTTATATTACTGCAACCCAGGTTTAAGTAGTGATATATTATTGTATGAAAAACATTACATTCTTACATATATTTATATTAGATACTAGTTGACCCCGCGTACTTCGTACGGGTTAAAATAATTTGGAAGAAATGACGGACCCGAGTCTACTGTACCAAAAGGGACGAACGTCAAATGTTTGACAGGAAAGAAGATAGAACATTTTATATGGGAAAATTAAATTGACGTTTTTACTATCTTCCTCGCACATTTTCCATATTTCACACCTTTTAAACCTTCCCTAGACCTCCACGAACATTTCAAGACTAAGATAAGATAAATCCGTTTTAGCGAGACTAACGAACAGCAATTGATTTTTATATCTTGATATAAATAATTATATTAATAATTTTTATATATTGACGTGACAACGTCTTAAATTAGGTTGCGGCTGGGAGTCACTTATGAAAAAGTGTAACGCTCGGTAACGTTACGATGAGTCTCTCGTGTTAAGTTTAAGTTTACATGTACAATGTTTTAGTAAACAAAATATATTTCTATAGTTAAAATTTGTGCAATTCTTATTTTCATTCAATTCCTTGTTCCTATTGTGCAATTTAATTATATTCATATCAATAAATATTCTACCGAGAAAAAGACGTTGTCACGTAAAATCTTCGCCCGTAAAACCGACTTTACAGGCAACCATTTTTTTTTTTATATTATGATTAGCGTAGTAGGAAAATTTGCCACCCTTAAAAAACCCAACGTGAGAACTGAAAATCTAGCAACTAGTGACGGTAATTTCGATTCGTAGGTATTAGTAATCCTTCACAAAGACATTAATATACTTTATTTCTACACCTTTAAATTTATCATTTCTAAGATATTTACATTACTTAAAACTTTAGAAATCAAAACATTAGATGAATTTATCATTATTATTATTTTTAAATTAATTACAATCAGTAAAGAATATTTCTATTTAGATTTTTTGATATTATGTATTTCTAGACTCAAAAAGAAAGAAAAACATTTGATTATGATCGTAATTTTTCCATAAGTTTTGTTTATGTCTAGCATTATATCTTAAAATTGTAGTCCTAGCCAATCTCCTGGATTATGTGAATGTGTTATCGTGTCATATGAGGAACTAAAAAGTGATATAAATATGCTGCTTGTACGGTGTTTATCGTAATGTTTATCATTATTTCGGGACGGCTGATGTAATAAATGAACAAAAACGTCAATGTAATTAAGTGATAACATATTTTAGTAGTTTACTAGTCAAGTGGGTGGTTATCTATCACAAAATGGGGTGTGTCTTTTCTAATAAATGAGGTTGATAATTTGTAAAAAAAAGTTTAATTTAGAAAAATGCTGAAACGATAGGAAAATCCATGGAAAACTCTATGGTTTCTTACAATTTGACACATTTTCTAATAGTATTATTATATTGGGCGAGTTAATTATCAAAAAACAACTGTTATATGTAATTTTAACAGAAACTAGACATCAAAGCAATTAAATAAATTGTACCTTTAGCTCACCCTTCGATCAATAATTTTATAGATAACGGGTTGCATACAAAATCAAAGCTAAAAACTGTCCGCGTATGTTTAAATTTATGCAGCTACATTCGATTCTCAATGAATAAAGATAAATGTTTGAACCTAATAACAACTATCGCACAAAGAAATAAGGTTACATATAAAAAAATGATATTTCGCACATACGACCTTTTATCTTATAAAACGAACTCTTGTTTCTTCTATAAATTATAAGTGATACTTGAAAAAAACGATAAATTTGCAAAAAGGAAAATGTGAAATCATCCTTATGACCCACAAAATAAAATATTTTTACCAATCATTGGCCAGCGAGTTACTTGGTTTTGTATTAACCGAACTAATTTAAAATAAGATCTCACGCCTCAAGTGAGGCTATATTTACCTAAACGGATTTTACGCGCTGACTAGTTATCTATAGAGTAGTTGTTTGAAGAGCTTACCCAATAAAAAATCTAATTTCTGTAATATCACAAAAACAAGTTTCTGGTACGATTTCATAGAGCTTGTCATCGTATTTTAAACTTATTTGTTTTCTTAATAAATTAATCAATTTCCAAATAGTAAGAAAACGCAAATTTTGTGAAATTAAATGAAAACTGATTTGTATTACAAAAACTTTTAATAACTTCATTAAAAAGTATTAAATCTGGTGGTGAATTTAAAGGCTCTATGACACGGGACTACAAGCCAGCGAGTTTGCTAGCAGCTTGTAAACTCGCCCCGTGTCATCGATCCTTAAGTTAGAAACTGGTTTCTGACGGGCTGGTCTTCAGCAGCCAGCCAGCTTTTACGACCGGTAGCCGGTTTACCAGGCACTCTCCATCTTCGTTTACACATGGTTTACACTTTACTTGTGCCATGAAATAGAGTAAAGCCTCGATGACACGAGGCGAATTTACAAGCTTCAAGCCAGCGAGTTGACTAGCAGCTTGTTAACTCGCCCCGTGTCATCGGCTTTTTTACCATCTGCTACTCGATGATACGGGGCAAGTTTACAAGCTACTAGCCAATGATATTAAATATCCTAGAAACACCCCGAGCGCTCAAAATGTGTTCCCAATCAAGAAGTGCTTGAACTCCACTCAAGCACTCGCTTTTTGGTTCACAGTCACGCGCGGACCGTTACAAAGTCAAGATGCTACAGAGCTCCGCAAAAAAATGCGAAAATAATACTTAGAGTACGAAAAATGTCGTTTTTTCGACATGTATCAAGTCAATGTTCGTTAATTTAACGCATTTGAAGTAAATTTTCATCTAATACTTACTATAAACTGATTTAATATAAAATATTTGTAATATTCAAATGCATGGTCGATTATTTATACGTCGCCATATAGCCGTCTCTTTTCCTCGCGGTCCGCGCCTGCTATTTTGCTAACAGCGCGTTCAGAATTGCGCGTAGAGTCAAAGAACTAAGGTCTAAATTCTTCCGCATATAGCAATAAGTCGTAAAATTTTACGAGCTTGCATTTTGGAACTGTCAGAAGTCCTTGACGCATGCGTTTTATTTAAGACATTATACAGTATGTATTAAAGGTTACTTTCAATATTTTAATAATGCCTTATATTAATATTGACTACGCGATCATCTTACGGAGCTCCGTGGATCATTCAATATACCTACCATTTACCCTGGACAGGTTTCGGGCACGATTTTGTTCGTGTTGGTGTTTATAGGCAGAGGCGGCGTAAGGCGTGGGCGACGTGGGCTACCGCCTACGGCGGTCTCGCGGTATACGCCTCAAAAAAAATTTTATGCATTGCTTATAAGCGAATTTCTTTTTTTTTATTATTTTATTAAATCCGTCTTCAGGTCGCCACAGAACCGGGCCTCGCGAAATCTGTCTTGCCACATCTTTAGGTCTTGCCCCGCCACTGTGTCTAGGGTATTTAATATCTTTGCTACTAGCGAACTCGCTGACTTGTAGCACATTACCGTGCTTGTAGCTTGTAAACTCGCTCGTGTCATTGAGGCTTTACGGCAGCTTAAATACGAGTGTGCGTGGGAAAGCCCACGCTAAAGGGAGTGGGGAGAGAAGTGAGGCAAGAGTTAAATAGGGTCTGCATGTTAATGCGAATTTGTATAAGCACCTAATTCTTATTACGCAATACCGTCCCCCCTAGTAAAATGTGCAATCGATATAAGTCGTAATTGAACGTAATCATGGCATGGGTTTACAAAGTTGCTGCATTGAGAACTGGGCCTGCTTCATAATATTGACAGTCACTGCATCGATTATCGCTGTATCGAAAACGCTCCATCGACGGTTTATTGAAACGACAGTACGCTACATCGACAGAACTCCATCTGTACATTATATCGATAGTACATTATGTCGACAGTAGGTAGGTACACAAAATAGATGGTTCTCTACATCGACTGTACACCATATTTACAGACAGGACAGTGTACTGTAGCATATCATGTCGATGGTACGCTGCATCGACATCGACAGCCCGACAGATGTTATAAATAAATAAATATTTAAATATTTCCAACACTCACACCGATTAGCCTAGTCCCAAAGTAAGCACTGTAAGGCTTGTGTTATGGGATACTAGGGTAACGGATATAATACATATACTGTTCATATATAAGTATATTTATATAGAAATATGTACATATTAAACATCCATGACTGGAGTACAAATGCTCGTATTCATCACACAAACATCTGCCCCCACCGGGATTCGAACCTGGGACCTCTCGAGTCGGCGACACTATGGAACTCGGCGTACAAAACACTTGGCCACGGAGGTCGTCAAATAGTTTTAAATACCTCCGAATAATAATTATAAGTTCATATTTATAAAGTACTTTTAATAAGAGCCTGCTCTGGGTTAAGCGGGTCACGAAGCGGTCGTCCGCTCCGCGTGTTTGTTTCATGTTATTGCATAGAGCTGGGCTGCGTAAAGCCTCCCGCCTCATGCGGCGCGGGCGGTAAATCTCGCCTCCTGGGCGACGGGGCACGCTCATTTGGCTGTCTTCTGTGCTCTCTGCGTCGTCTTTTGGCTAGGTAGTATTATCCACTAAAATAACCTTCACCCATGTGTCCGAAATTATGATGGCGGCGCTGCTAGAGGCAAGCGGGTCCCGCGACAGATGAAACCGGTCCCGCGTGGGTGGAATGGGTCCCACGTCGGAGCACGGAGCGAACATCTGCGACAGACGTCCTCTCCGTGCTCCCCCCGCTTAACGCAGACAAGTTACTTTTGCCTATGAGACAAGTTCTTAAACAATGTTCAATTCTAATTATCAAACTTCCTTTACGATGAGGATTTACTGATCTTTTAAATGTTGAATTTGTGCTTTATTAAATAGAGAGTTATTTATTGATTCTGAGGAATCACACAAATATTTGGATCTCGCATGATTCAGAATGTGTGAATTATATATAAAAGCAAAAAAAGGCTGTTTTAAATTTGTGATTTTGCCTAAGAATATGGAAAAATTATAACAACTACAGTCTATGCTGTCATTCAGATGTCAATACTGTCAATCTCCGCAAACTGTCAAATCTACTTATAGAATATAGTGATCTCTGTGTGTCAAATCAACAAACAAAATAATGGCACCCAAGCTGAAATTTGCCGAAGGTATTTATCAGTTTTTCAATAATAAAACAAAAGAATAAAATAATTCAGTCAATTATTTACTGCACTTTTAAGTCAAAGATTCATAATTTATTGCAACTTGTATTTTTGGTGTTTCAGGTGAAAAAGTATTATGTTTCCACGGTCCCCTTATTTATGAAGCAAAATGTCTCAAAAGTTCAGTTTCTAAAGATAAATATGTACGATACCTAATACATTATGCCGGTTGGAATAAAAAGTAAGTATCAAGCACAAAATTTATTTGTGTCTACTTCCAGAAAGGTTCAAAGTGTAGTACTTAAATAACAATATTTACAGGTTATCTCTAATGTTTTCATGAACAAATATTTGTGAACATATTAAAACTATTGTTTCTGCCACATTATACGAGTCACTATGTCACTATTTTTTTCATTTTATATCATAATTAATGTGGTCTGGATTTCATGAAATTATTGACAAACGTTAATATCTTGATCCTTTGTATTAAATATAAATTTTTTCTATGCACTTCAGGTTGGTCATGAACAATCCAGATATGTTCTAGATTTTCAATAATTTGTACCAATAGTATGAAATAATTTGATGTTAAACTGGATGAACAATCTAGATATGTTCTATATTTTCAATAGTTTGTACCAATAATATGAAATAATTTGATATTAAACTGGATTATGTAATAAACTTAAATTGTTTCATTCTTTTCAGTTGGGATGAATGGGTACCAGAGAGCCGTGTCTTGAAGTACAATGAAGCAAATGTGCAACGCCAGAAAGAGGTGCAGAGAGCCCATTCTGCACAACCTGCTAAGACAAAGAAAAGTATAAATATTTGATATGTTTCCATTGGTGTTGATATTGATGTCGATTCTGTCATGATTCTCTAAAGCTAAACTTAAATTTGACAACAGTGCATCCCTGTCATTCTCTATACAGAATGAAAAGGAAAGACTGATGTTAAATTTAGTTTTAAGTTTAGAGACTCACGCTAGAATCGACACCATTGGCATGATTCTCTAAACTTAAAACTAAATTTAACATCAATCTCTTCTTTTCATTCTGTATAGAGAATGACAAGAATACACTGTTGCCGAATTTAAGTTTAGGTTTAGTGAATCATGTTAGAATCAACACCATTATCTATTTAGGTATATTAGCCAATTTAGTAATCATTATCTAACCTTGTCATTCCTTAATCTGTTCCCTATTAACTTGTTGTTTATTATTTTGTGGTGTTGCATGTTAAGTTCATTGCAAGTTTTAATACTGGCATTTACTAAATCTTGCAATCAGTGCTAATGTAACCATGTAAATTACACATTGGTGTCAATTCTGCCGTGATTCTCTAAACTTAAAACTAAATTTAACTTCAGTCCCTTTTCATTCTGTATAGATAATGACAAGGATAAACTGTTGTCAAATTTAAGTTTAGGTTTAGATAATTATGCCAGAATCGACACCATTGATTGCTTTACAAGGTTGTTTTAGATAGGTTAGGACTAAATTATGAAAGAAAATATTTTTCTTTTGATCAGTAAAATTTTAGTTTACTTAATAAAAAGACATAATCTGTATATTAGAATGGGAAAGGGGGCCTATTTTCATTAGTATTGCATTCTTTATAAGTTAAGAAGATACTTTTAATAAAACTGAACTGCCCAAAATAGGGGTGACGACGGGGTAAAGTAAACAATATTCTATTTAGTCCATCAGTTAGATGATCAAAAAATAATGGTGACATATTTTTTCTTTGGGCAATCAACCATAAAATGACAAAGATAAAGCTCACTTTTAAGTGAAAATTGTACCAAAACATGACGTCATGTGACTTTTAAAATCAAGATATCTCTGCAATGTTTACATTATGTGAAAAAAGAAAAAAATATGTGTCCAACACTTCGATAATCTACCTGATAAACAAAGAAAAAAAAAATAGTAATCATCCCTATTTGTGTGGAGTTGTGCAAGAGGATAAATATTTGATTACTTCAGAGTTAAATAATATTTAACAAAAACAATAACCACAATGCGAACACCCTACCAACATTCATAAGGTCTACCTGATAAGAAGTGGCCACTATTACTTAAAGGAGTTTGGGATACCAGAGTATGACTTGTGCATTGTTTACTCTAACCCAGGCGATTTTATTTATGTCATATTTTTTCAAATGGCTCGCACTTCAGGTGCTTCGAAGGAGGACCACTGGTTAAAAAGCTCTAACCCCATGGAACCAAAAACACGAGTTTTGTGAAGTGTATATTAGCTGTGCCACGCATGTGGTGTCACCTGCATTATTATACGGAAAATATCTTCCATGTAAACATAATTGCCGCCGCAGACTTTCTATAGACGTTTTAATGGGGAACAATTCTGTTATATATGATCTTTTTGCAACATTTTTCAATTATTGACGTGCACCATCCTCGTTAAATGGACTATCCCAACACAAAAATATTTTTTCAATACAACTGTGGTAGTACTAGTAGTTCTTGCGATTAGCGCATTAAACTAAACAAATAGTCTCTAACTCGGTTATTCCGAAACGCAGATTAAAAGTAGTCTTTGTTTTAACCTAATATTGTCTTGTGTCTTCTATTTAGCAAACAAAAGTAACAGCATACTTTGTCTAAAGTTAAACCAGGTCTAAAACTGTTTAGACTTAGGTTTAACTTTAGACAAAGTTTTTTAATAAACTGGTAAAGCTTTAAATGTTAGTAGGTCTATACCTACTAACATTTAAAGCTTTACCACATATATATATTCTATATATATATAGATTGATGACCCGTTAAACTCGTTATGTATTTGCGCAGCGCCGGCAAAGGGTCGGAAGTCAGAAGCTGCTGCCACAACACCCGCTAGGGAGGAGTCCAGGGCATCCACACCCGCTGGTAAGAAACAAACTATTTTTTTTGCGTTTATCTATATATTCGTTACCACATTATGCCACACAACGAACGGCAAACCCCAACCACATTAAAGCTTTTCACCTTGCAGTTTGCCCAGTCTCTAAAATTGATAGATGAATCTGTACCTATTTCATTGAGATATTGCTAAGGGGCGACACGAACACCTAGCGAGAACGTATTTGTATCGCTATAGTTAAAGTTTGTATGGAAACTAGGCAGCGCCTCCGTAAGAACAAACAGCTAACTTTCTGTTACTGCTTCCGAATTTAGTTTGTTCTTACGTCCGGTAGACTGGTCTGCCTAGTTTTCATTGAAAATTTGACGATGGCGAATATATTCTTGCTAGTTGACCCGTCTGTTGGCTGCATGCGGCTTAACACTGATATAAATGTTCTGCAATTTTAGCTAAACCAAAAAAATCATCTAATATATCAAAAAGCCAACATCACGCGGTGTTCCCAGGCGGTCACCCATCCAAGTACTGACCGCGCCCGACGTTGATTTACTTCGGTGATCGGACGAGAACCGGTGTATTCAACGTGGTATGGACGTTGGCGAACTACAAATTGAATATTAGGATGTCTTTATTCACTTTATATACTTAAAGATGATCTTACAAAGCACAAAATACCGTTATATCTTATTCTTAGAGGCCCCGGGTTCGAATTCCGGTGGGGGCAAATGTTAGTATGATGAATACGAGAATTTGCACCTTACTCCTGGATGTTTATATATATTTCTGGATAAAATATACAAGTATCAGTGTATGTATTCTATCCATTACCTTAGCATCCTATAACACAAGTCTTACTACTAGTGCTTACTTTTTAGGGGTAGGCTAATTGTGGGAAACATTGATAATATATATGTACTTACTTACTTAATATATATTTTACGTTAATCTTTTAATACAATATCAGGTAAAGACACAGAAACGACCCCAGCACCCGCTAAAGCTGCCAAAACACAAAGCAAAGATACACCAGCTGATTCGGGATCTGACCAACCCAAGTATGTTTGTTTTTTTGTTTAACCCAACTATATTTGTTTGCATTTAAAATAATTGTAACAACAAAGCTATTAAACCAAACTCTTATTTTATTATTGGAATATAAAATCAGCTGGGACTGAAAGTTCCTAGAGATAAAAACAAAGAGAACAAGCCGTAACAAGTGCGGCCACCAAAGCAAAGACGAAGTCAAAAGCAAATACAAACTCGCGTCAGTACACTACAACACATCGTGTTGTGAATACATCCTGTGAATATTAAGTTTTTTTTATTTATTCTGGCCTTGGATATTTAGTCCTTTAGCCGAATATGAATAGTTTAGTTTAATATTAGTTAGTTTAATTTAATTTGTTAGTTTATGTAAAAACTGTGTCGCCCTGTTCAAACATTGGTAAAACTGTTCACCAAGACAAAATGAGTCTTCGTATTTGCTTTGGTGGCCGCACTTGCGTGTTCCGTGCGTTCCATCTGCCTTTTGTTCTGTAATCTGAGTCATTAAGTATATAATAAATAGATCTATTATAAACTTGAATATTTTTTGTTGCGCAGAAAGAAACGCGGCCGCTTAGACCTATCCATTGAATCGGAAGAGCAGTACCTCTCCAAGGTCGAGGTGAAGATCAAAATCCCCGAAGAATTAAAAGTTTGGTTAGTCGACGACTGGGACGTGATCACGCGACAGCAAAAATTAGCCATTTTACCCGCCAAATTGACCGTGGAACAAATAGTAGACAACTACTTAGCCTTCAAGAAATCCAGCAAAGCCCACAACCAAGCAAAGGAATCCGTCCTCGTTGATATCACAGAAGGAATAAAGGAGTACTTCAATGCTACATTAGGCTCACAACTGCTTTACAAGTTTGAAAGACCGCAGTACAGTGAGATTTTACAAGAATACCCGGATACCCCGATGGCACAGATATATGGTTCAATACATTTGTTAAGATTGTTCGCTAAAATGGGACCAATGTTAGCATACACAGCCCTAGATGAGAAATCTCTGCAGCACGTGTTGACACATATGCAGGATTTTTTAAAGTATATGGTGACAAATAGGTCTACTCTGTTCAATCTACAAGACTATGGAAACGCTACCCCGGAATATCATAGGAAAGTTCAGTAAGTTTAATTAATGTTTAGTCAGTAAGTTTAATGTTGTATGAAATTGGTCATGATTATATGAGTTGTATTATAGAATTTTGTTTTCAATTTTGATTAATAATGACCAGTTTCAATAAATTTCCTCCAGTAAAAGGTAAGATAATCTGGTTCTGTTTCTTAGCCACAGTTATTATTATAGTCTTAATAGCAACTGTTGCTCAGGCAACGGAATTAGATTATCCTTACCTTTTACTAGAGTTTGATTATTGAAATTGAAGGTATGATTATATGTAGATAATAAGGAACAGATAATAATAATAAAAAAAGACACAATTAAATAAATATTATTTAACTAGCAAACCAGTGAACCAAATGTTCACCAAAACCTGATTTCTCGAAAACCGGAAGTGCTACGTTACTCAAATCCGGTTTGTAGTCATAAGACTATTCTTAACTTATAACTTAAATATTCTCTTTATCTATCTCTTACGGTTTGGCCGCTGAAACAGCACCACAGACAGACGGACGGACTTGTCTAATAGATAAGAGATAAGTTGTGAAAGAACTTAATCACAGAAAAGAAAACCACAGAATAACAGCAAATCTTAACATTTACGCGCAGAATCAACATAAAGGCCACTTTCAGTATCTTTTGTAAGTGATGCAATTTTCTTGCTGAATCAAGAATTTGCTCATACCAGACTCTGTCCTTAATCGAAGCTACGATACTGTGCCAGCTTCATTAGGGATGTGGCGTAAACAAATAATACGGCGTAAGTTATCTCAATCGATGATTTTAATTATGGTATATCGCCAGCTCGGCCAAAATATGAAGGTTTTCTATTTTCATACGAGCCGCAGCTAATTACCCTACCCCACCTGATGTTAAGTGTAGGTGGAGGTTAGACGTGATGATAAATAATATGATGCGGCAGAAAGTGTGCCGCTCCAGCCATCCTCACCTTGCCAGTCTGAAACTAATTTCACGGAGCCCCGGAACCCTACTCAACTGCAGAAACACGACACCAGTAAAAGGTACTGGGGGCCAATCGCCTAACGGAAATGCTTTGGAAAACGCTAACGCTTACGATTTTATTTTGTTATTTCTAGCCGCCTGAGGTATTCAAATGCCTCGCGCTCTTTCTTTTTCTTTTTCATTGGTAATAACAATATTAAAAAAAATGAGCGTGAGGTATTCGAAAACCTCAGGCGGCTAGAAATTACAATATAAAATCGTAAGCGTTAGCGTTTCAAACGTGGATATTGCCTTTTGTATGTGTGTTTGTACTCACGCCAATAACTGTTCTGGAAAACGATCGTTTTCTTGTTCACGACGAGTAAAAAATTATTTACGACAACAATGATGGACCAAAGGTTAAACGATCTTGCTTTGCTTAACATAGCCGATTTTTAGGATTGGATTGCGAAAATTTAATTATTGATTTTGCTGCACTAAAGTGCAGGCGAGTTTTGTAACACATTGTATAACACTTATTGTATCATATCTTGTACTCTTTAACTTGTAGTAAAATAAATTAAAACCGTTTACATGTATAATTTAAATACGCAATTATTCTTGTAACCTTGTCAAATTTTAGAAATTAGCAGCTATTATTATTATTACTTATTTATTCTAGGAAACTTATAGTTACTTTTATCCACACTTACCACCCGCACTTACGATAATAAGTAGGTTCATACAAATTAATTGTGTTTAATTAGATATTTAAATATTTAACTCGCAATTAAGTGTTAAAAGTTGATAACACTCGTGTATAAGTTATCATAACCAAGTATGCCACGTTGGCACAGTACAGCAAATAACTAAATGTAACAATTTATCTACCTTATTCTTGTGAAATAAAACTATTGTTTTTTCCTAAATTTCTAAATCCACCACTGTGTAGATCCCCATCGTCTTGGCCTTCTAGCTGTTTTACTAAGTTTGGCTATAATAATCGCTGTAGCAGTAGCGTTTGCTGCAAACAACTCGTCCATCCCCGCCGTGAGCCACGAGCACACCGGAAACCTATGTTCGAGGAGAGTGATTGATGTAGGCTCGTTGCATGTCCACACTTGACACTGCGAGCGAGCGGCTCGGCTTGCGCTCCGTTCGTGCTTGGCTCCTTTAGCGTATACGCAGCTCTACCTCTCTTAAACATATTCGCCCGCCGAGCTGCTTGCTTGCGCTTGCGTTGACTCACGTGTGCTAAAAAACTGCATAAATCCTTATTGATCTTTAGCAGGGCGCTTGGCCATGATTTATCGGGGTTAAAAGTACCATTTTGTAATTGCCCACATAATAACAATAAATCAACATTATTGCAATAATAAAATTTAATGACGAGGGAGAAGATTTTTTAAGCGGCTTTCAAGTTGTTTCCAAGAATCTGAATTGAGTTATAATATGGCATAATTAATAAATAATACTGACTTGCATTGCTAAAAGCATGGATATTGGATAAGTATATCCTGAGAATTTGTGACTCCGAAACCTCAAGGACTCTTTCATAATAAACAAAGGTTGGACTAGTTACTCTCTCTTCAAAGAATTAAAAATTCCATTTGAGTGATGTGAACAAAACACTGTTTAATTTGTATTTTAAATAGGGAAAATAAAACAGAGATGTTGACAAGGTAAAGAAAGGTAACAGAAATTCTGTTTAGTATGTCAATTAAAAATAATGAATAAATACTATTTTTCTTTTGCCAATCAACAAAATAATTACAAAGATAAACCGCGTCAAAGTTTAGGAATGGAGGCTCGTGACTTCATTTCTAAGCAAAAATTGTCGTACCAAGACATGCGAAATTTTAAATCAATAAATCTCTGTAATGTTTTGATTACAATTAAAAAATAAATAATATGTTTTTGATAATCTACCTACCTGATAGACGAAGTTTCTCGGGGTTTTAACTGAACTGATTGCCCGATATAAAGTTTATTAATGTCAATTAAAGTTGCCCCCCTTGCTCCGCTTTTGTTACACCCATGTACAATAAATGATGTGAAACTTGAAGAAATTTGTGTATGAGCCCAATATAAAATTAAGCAATCCCGGTTGCATCTGCAATCGTTAGCACCCACGAATTCGGTCATGGCCTAATCTCCCTATTCCATCCTGGCCTGTGCCCCAGCAGTGGGGACATTAAAAGGCTGATGATGATGATGACTCAATTGAATGTCAATAGCATGTCCATGACATACCCCTTTATGGTTTTTGAAACATTCGCTGTACGAACGTACGTTTCTTTAATACCTATTATTGTAGGAATGATTTATTTAGACTTCGTGACTTGCTGAGATGACAATAAAATATGTTGTTATCTGCGCCACGAGCAAGGTTTGACGGCATATGGTCGCATCTTGGAACATCTGTCATTTACTAGCACTAGTGATTAACACTCGATGGGTGCAAAGAAAACACATCATGTTAAGGTACCGCAAAGTGATACATTTTCTCAATAGTTTTTAGGTCTTATATCAAAGAAGATAAGGCTCAAAGTCAGCTGGACGATATAAACAGTTTTGGGTTACTTGACCCTTTGGGTAGCTGATTGTAGCATTTCAGAATCTTTTCTGTATAATCATCTCCTATTGTTAGACATGATAAGGTAAACCTACCTTATAGTAGGTATATTGCTAACTTATCAAATAAAACAAAATTTTATGTTTAAACTGGTTTATACCTATAAATTTCAGTAAATTATAAGACATGTAAGGACCTGAATGATATGTAGTACCACCGAATCGCGAAATACCTTGGTTACATGCTATAAAAAATAAAATGTGAACCAGACAATCCTCTTCTTCATGCTGTGTCTAATTCGGCCCTGTAGACGACGATAATTTTGAAAACGCTGCCCAATCACAGTGGAAAAAATCTATGTAGACAGCTAACCACTAGGCTTCTGGCTTACTACTCATAATATTTATAAGTACGTGTTGACATAAATGAATAACAGTTAATTACGAGTCGAGTTGAGCTTGCGCAGTTGTGAAAACGTAATCAGGGTCTCTGTGAGTGCCTTATAAGGAGGCAGACACGCCAGCAGGGGCGAAGGCCGTCGCCGTACCTGGATACTATAATTACTGCTTATGACTTCGTTTTGTTTTAAGTACAGATAAAATCTCTTGCTGGCGTCGGTACTGAGTCCATAATTATTTATAAAATTATTTGAGTCATTAGGACATTGTATCGTTTGTAGTTAATCTAGGCACTCAAATCTTTTTGAGTTTAAAAACCGCATCCAAATCAATCGATCGAAGCTACAGACACACAAGATATATAGGCATATGAATCTTATAACATCCCTTTTTTGCGTTGGAGGTTAGAAAGAGATTAAAACATTTTAAAATCTGATGCTCCGGGGCAGTTACGATTTGGAAATCACCCGTAGAATTAGTAAATCAAATCGAACGAATGTCTTCTGTCGCCCGTCGTAGCCTGCTGCCCCGCCTCTTAGCCCTAGGCTAAATACGCCCCATACACATCCTATATCCCGCTCTAATTGGCGCTCCCGTCCGTTTGATGAAGTAACCTGCACCTTACTGTAAAAAGCTACTTATTTTTTGTTGATGTGTTTCTGTTGGTATAAGAAAGGTTTCATGCTTGCCCTCTACAAGGTAGGAGATTGGACTCAGGCCGGCAAAATGAGGATAGCTGGAGAGCGGGATGGGTTAAAATAATTAATTAATGATGCTGAAATAATTTACTTATTGTTTGTCTTTATTTACTTATCTAGTATGCAAATATATTATCTTAAAAGTGTATACTTATCTCATAGGCATTTCATGGTTTTCAATTTATTGTAACAACCTAACGAACCGCAACTGTTGGTCCAATAATAAAGCAATCAGAAATGACTAATTTCTCGTTTACGCAATGTAAGTCATAATTCTAATTAATGGATTTATAATAATGGTTTTATTTGACTTAATAATGATTAGTTGCTACTTGACGTAGTAGTAAGCAAGATAGGTAAGTATTAAAACCACATATTTAGTAGTAATTGTTTAAA